GCAAAAGTGATTTTAGTGACTATTTATAGTCTATGTGCAAATACTTATTAGACAATTACATAGATTCTGCGCCTAAATTCTTGGTAATATAAAATCTTATGTTATTAGGCACATTGTTTTAACGATTTAAACAGGATAACAATTAGTGACAGACACGTGAATAATTACATTTGATCTAAAGAGAGTCTAACCACCAGATTCTCAGCGCACAAACTCGTTTCACTTATTTCCGGTGGTAGACATACGCGTAGTTCAGGTGTGCCATCACTGTTACCATCCCTAATACACCCGATTGTTTGATGGCAATCCCTGTCCGATTTTAATTTCAGTTCAATCAGGTAGGCGTATATTAACGCTGTAATTGATATCTGCAATATGCCGACAGCTGTACCCACTTCGTAGTAGCCAATTATTGAATAAACGACCATGAGCATTAAAAAAAACAGTGGAGCCCAAAGTACTTTCTTAGCCCAGTCGCAGCAAGTTACAACCAGGAAATATATCATTACGAACATGATTAACACGTTTATTGCCACATACAATTCTTTTACTGTAAAAGGTAAAATCAAATTTAGTATAATTCATGTAAACATCAAAGCAAAATTAAAGAATAATATTATTTATTTAAATGGTAACATTCGAGTTAATTAAGTATTTCGTATTTAAACCTACTATAAATTTGCTTGAAGTCGCGTATGTCATAGATCTGACCACGATTATTATATACTGTACTTCCGATCACATTAGCAAGTGTAAATATAATCTGGCGTACATATGAAACAATGAGAAAATATTTCACACACCGGCGAGCAAATTGTTTCTTGTCTAACATTTTGTTAATTTACTATGCTAATTTTTATAATAAATTTAAAATTATTTTAAATCTATGTTTGGTAGTTGTTATTATAAAACACAAATCAATAAATGTGTTGATTCTGCGCCCAAATTCTATCACATACTGTATATAAGTGTTAAGTTCAAGGTTATTTTTGTTGTGATTAAATTAGTATTGGTCCTGAATAAAGTTTTGAAAGTTTATATTTTATTATGTACATGTATTATGTATATTTAATTATATCAATTTTAATTAATTTTATCATGATAAATGATAATAGTTTACATTGCCAATAAAAATACCTAGCTTGTTAATCAGTTTGCATGTTTTTCCAATTATATCCAATTATGTGTGTCGATATCATAATCATACCAAGTGAAAGTAACACTTTTACGTTAATGATAATGCATCATAAAAATAATCAATGCTGATAAAAATAACAATAATCTTGGACAAATACATGATGATAAGAAAATATGTTATTACGCACTTAATAAATTTCAATTTGTCCGACATGTTTATTACACAAACAGAATATTAGTCAAGCAAACTTTCAACAGTATAATTAATTTTGTAACTAATTGTTTAAAACTTAAATCCTTATAAAAATATAATTAACAGTTATATTCAAAAAAGTCTGTAGCAGTCCTGATGAAGACTATGAATTTAAAACATCAGTATAAACCACGATTAATTAATTATATTTTATATATCGCGACACAATTTTGGCTTCAGTGTATGTCTATGAGCAATATAATTACATTCCACTAGTTTATTTTAGTTATAAGTTTACAGTTTAAATTTGTAACAATTTTCCAAATGTGTCATGGTATCTAAACACAAAATGTTTTACACTGTACTACATTGTCTTAAAGATTAAATAAATATAATTATTTAGTAATTACAGGAAGGTAAATAAAACAGTAATTAAATTAACATGTCATATAAACAACTGTAAAAGATTAATTATTAAATAAATAATATAACTAAAACACCAACGGTATAATTTTAATGGACTTACATCACTATTACAATTTAATTTTGAATTAATTATTAAAAATATAACAATCGCAAAATAAAAAGTTATAAAACTAAAATAATAAAGATGATAGGTGCATATTTAAAAGTTATTAATTGCAATTGATTTTAAGGGAGTCTAACCATTAGATTCTCTGAACACAAGCTCGTTTCATTTATTACCGGTGGTAAGCATACATATAAATCACATGTGCCGTCACTGTTACCATCCCTAAGACACCTAACTGTTTGCAGGCAATCCCTGTCCTACTTTAATTTCAGTCTAATCAGGTAGGCGTGTATTACAGCCGTAATTGTTATTTGCAATATTCCGACAGCTGTGCCCACTTCGTAGTAACCAATTATCAAATAAACGACCATGAGCATTAATAAAAACAGTGGAGCCCAAAGTACTTGCTTAGTCCAATCGTCACAAGTTACAACCAGGAAATACATCATCACCACCATGATTAGCACGTTTATTGCCACATATAATTCTTTTACTGTAACAGGCAAAATCAAATTTAGTATTATTCATATTTACATCATGGCAAAACTTTGTAATAATATTATTTATTTAAATTATAACATTATGGTTAATTAAGTATTTCGCATTTAAACATACTATAAGTGTGCTTGAAGTCGCGTATGTCATAGATCTGACCACGATTATTATATACTGTACTTCCGATCACATTAGCAAGTGTAAATATAATCTGGCGCACATATGAAACAATGAGAAAATATTTCACACACCGGCGAGCAAATTGTTTCTTGTCCAACATTTTGTTAATTTACTATGCTAATTTGTATAATAAATTTAAATTTATTTTAAATCTATGTTTTGTAGTTGTTATTATAAAAGAGAAATCAATAAATGTGTTGATTCTGCGCCCAAATTCTGTCACATACTGTATATAAGTGTCAAGTTCAAGGTGATTTTTGTTGTTTTTATTTTGTAGTGATTAAATTAATTCAAGGAAATAGAAATGACAGATTAATATAATTATTTGTAGCAAGATAAAAATATTTACTTTATTAAATTTATATAAAAAATCTACATAAAATATAAGTAGTGAATAATTATACAAAATTTAAATTTGCAAAATTATAGAATTATAGATAAATGTATTTTTAGAAATAGAGATAAACAAATATTAAAATTTTGCAAAAAGCTATAATAATTAAAAATAAATAAATACATGTAAATAATAAACCCAATTAGCAAAAACTAATTGTGGTGACAAAATTAATACCATGTTTATCCAAACAATTATTTATTTTATTTTCCGTATCTCATCCCTCGAGAATTCATTATAAATAACATTATACATAATAAATTATTATTTGGTTTTACTTTAAAAATACATTAAATATATATCATATTCACATAAAGCACATACAATAATATGTATAATATGTATATTATATTTTAGCAATAATTAGCAAATATTACAAATCAAAGCTACATATTTGGTGCATTAAGTCAGTATCATCATGGTGATATTGTCAAACATGCTACACTTTGTTACTATTGTTATGAATTTGGCTAACTTAATACAATTTCCGGCTGATCAATAGGTGATGTATCATTTAAAATAGTAGATCTACCAAATCCTTTTGGGTTTAACCATGATTGATTATTAACTAGATAGGCGTATATCGGGGACATAATTGCCGGCAAGAGTACTAATATAGGTACAACCACATCCACCATATTTGTTACTTTGTATACATCCAGCATGAGAATAAATGCCATTGAATACGCTTGTGAAAGAATAGCAATTACAAGTATGCAATGTTTAGGCCTCTCCTTATCGATCACCTTTATAAAGTAGACCAATGTAACCGAGATTAGTGCGAGTAGTGCAGTACAAACTCCAAGGGCTGTAATGTTATAATTTGTAAGATTTTGTTAAATTAACAATTCATTAATAGTAATATTAATTTTGTAGATAATTATGTTTCATATTTTATTTTATCTGTTCACTATTAATAATAAATTTATTATAAGTTACTACAGTACACATTATGTTATAATTTGCATGAATCAAAACTGTTATACCAAGAATAATAATCATGGTTACTAATTTTAGAATTACCTATAAGCTCAAGTACCCGGTTGCTTTCTGGCACAAAGCTAAAATACAATATTGGAAGATAAATCGTCCAGAACAGGGCAAATATAAAGTGGACCACGTAAACAAACATGAGAAAATACTTCAAAATGTCGTGTATTACATTAAATTTATTCACCATGATTAAATACGAGTTTGTCTAAAACGCTAATTAATATAATGTAAGTATTTATAGTATATGTAAACAATTATAGTTCCGATTCTGCTCTTAAATTCTGGTGTATATCATGTGATACATTAATAAATACATGTATAATTCTATTAATCATGATGTAAATATTTGTTATATATAAATATAGAGATACATGTATGTAATGTTTACACAATTCCGTAGATTCTGCGCTAAAATATTGATGAATTTCATAAATAATGTTCAAACCTTAATAGCATTACAGTATAAAGCAACTAGCTTAATATTATTATACAACATATATTAAAAAAATTAAATAGTAAATTCTATTTGTAAATTAAAATTTCGCATTTATTAAATCAATTTATATTTTATATTTATATACTAAATATATTTATTTTTACTGTAAACAACTATTAAAACACATTATATGTAGATTCATTGCAAATTAAAAAATATCACAATTATTGGTAAACACCAATTGGGCCAGAATTGCAAAATTATTGATAAGCACAATATTACTTAAATTTATATTATAATGTATAAATTACATAGCACTGTTTTAATGCCGCTTGTAAATGAGTGTAACTCGGTGTTTTAATAGCAATTAAATAAATAAAATTACAAACATATGTCAAAATACTATTCATTCAAAAATGATTTTTAAAATAATCATGTTAAATTCTTAATTTATATTACATTTAGGCAACATTTTGACTGCTATAAGGTGGTAAACCATCATCATTAATATGATGTGGCAAACATAGCTCTAGTGTAACATCACTGCCACCATCCCTGGTATACCCGGCTGTTTGCAAACAGTTTGTCCTAGATTTCAATTCCCGGTCAATGAGATAGGCGTATATGAGGGCCATAATGGCTGGCAATAAGATCCCAATAGCTGTGCGCGCGTCAATGTCCCCGATCATTAAATATGCGACCATGAGCAGTATTAATAAAACAGCGACCACGATGCTTTGTTTGGGCCACTCGTAGTAAGTGACCACCACAAAATAGACCATCACTGACATAACCGCTACGCTTATCACAGCATATAATACTGGACCTATATTTGGATTAATTAAATGTTATTAGCATATTAACATGTTATTTTATGTAATGTAAACTTAGATTTAATATTATTCATTAATTTTAAATATTATGCTAAATAAATGTTTACATTCATAATATACTGTACATTTCATAAATATAACTTATTGATTTATAAATTTATAGAGATATTAATGTAAGT